GGAGCCTAAGTCCCAGCCTGCCCTTCACCAGGGCCCCTGATGGTGGGGATGGACTTGACGCAGCCAGGAACCAGGTCGCGGCCCCTGAGACACCTCAGTTGCGGTAATGGCCGCCGCCAATGGCGTGTAGCTGGTGGAAAAGACAAAAGAGTAGTCAGGCAGGCTGGGTCAACAACATCGGGACAAAACAGTACAGGACAGCAGACAAGAATCACAGGTCACGAGCCGGGTTCAGCAACAGAGGGTCAGATCAAAGGAGAACACAAAGAATAGTCGAGTCACAATCTGAGTCAGATTCCAGGAGAGTCACGAGAGTCAGAACAGAGTAATAGCAACACAAGACACAAGTGCAAAGAGCATGTGCGGACCACAGGCTTATATGTCATCAGCCACACCCCTCTGGGGGATGGACCTCAGATACCTGAAGGCATAAAGGATTCCCACCATGCTCAGCAGAAATCCAAGATGGATGCCAGCACATGGAGTAACATAACCTCAGGGAAAAGGTAGGACCTTGACAGGGATCAGCCCAGAACTACACAGGAGGAGCTTGTGAATGATCTCAAGGCAGTTGGGTCACGGATGGGTCTTCCAGTATGACAGCATGACAATGACCCAAAGCATGGACCAACTGAAAGAGCAAAAGATCCAGGTGAGTGCCGAATCTGCATAACCCCTCCACAGACATGCAGGTGCTCTACTGATCCGTGATCACAGATGCAATGGAAAAACAGAATGGTTGGCCACACAAACAGCAATGTGGTGGATGAAATCCTTTATTGGAATCCTTTACATGCAATATGATAAGAGCTGTCATGTTCTTATATTGCATGTAAAGGATTTCATCCACCACATTGCTGTTTGTGCGGCCAACCATTTTGTTTTTCCAATGACCCAAAACATACCGCCAAGGCAACAAAGGAGTGGCTCAAGAAGAAGCACTTTAAGGTCATGGAGTGGCCTAGCCAGTATCCAGACCTTAATCCTATATAAAATTTATTGAGGGAGCTGAACCTTTGAGTTGCCAAGCGACTGCCAAGAAACCTTAAGGATTTAGAGAAGATCATTAAAGAAGATTGGACCAAAACCCCTCCTGAGATGTGTGCTAACCAGGGGCGGACTGACAACTCATGGGGCCCCCGGGCAATAGGGGATCATGGGGCCCCTGTGTCCTTGACCAAACTCAAAAAAGCCTATGAAAAAGGTACCAGGGGCATCTCATGGGACCCCCTACTGACCCCGAGCCCACGGGCAGTGCCCGAGTTTCCAAATAGTCAGTCCGCCCCTGGTGCTAACCAACTGCAAGAAACATCTTACCTCTGTGCTTGCCAACAAGGATCTCTCCGCCAAGTACTAAGTCATGTTTAGCTTGGGAATCAAATACTTAACTGAACTGAAAATCAATTTATAGCATTTGTATCGTGTGTTTTTTCTGGATTTTTGGTTGATATTTTGTCTCTATCATTTAAAATACACCTATGATAAAAATCATAGTCCCTTCATTTCTTTGTAAGTGGGCAAACTTACAAAATGTGCAGGAGATCAAATAATTATTTTCCCCACTGTATGTGCATAGATCAATAATAACCCCATCTTAAAAACTGCATGTCACACTTTCCAACAGGATGACTAGAAAACCAACTCTAACAAGGAAAATCTGTCTAAAAATAGGCCTATAATCTGATATTACACAGTGATTGTTTTTTCTGCAAATCCAGATTGTGTTAATGGGGGCAGGAGCTCTTTAAAAGAGATTGCCAGAGGCAGCAATTGGTAAGGTGATGCAGCCACATCTTCTTCTTTAATGATAAGGAGATGCCGCTGCCAATAGTACAGCTTTCCAGTGCCAGTTCAGATCAATCAATGGCATTGCCAGACAACAGCGCCAAGCAACAGAAGAGAAAATCACTGTAGCACTGGTAACTAATTTTTATATCTATCATCACTATCCTCTCCCAAAAACTGCAGTGATTGCCCCATTGTATGAATATTGTGCACAATCACAGGTCCAATTTTGTAACTGGAGCAGGAGAATAAGGCAAAGGTTGATGACACATGTGCGACATTACCACTAGCGATTCTTTTGCTGACAATTTGCTGAAATCGCCAGTGGCAGGATTACTAAGAGGCTGCCTGTTTGTCCGTATTACTTCCTCTGTAGCTGAGGCAATGAGATTTCACTCCCATAGTTAGCAATCAAGATTCCAGAGCATGTGGGCCAGCAACAAAGCCCCAACTTGCTGCATCTGACTACAGAGGGAGCGAGTCCTTACGGTGATCCTGCCGCTGGAAAACTGTCTCTAGCAGCAGAATTGCCTGTGGGTCATCAATCATAGAGTGACACTAAACACTGTTTTAATAAATTATATTCCTGTATGTTCGTAAAGTGATAATAAAGGTTTATTTTTTTTATATCTATTTGCACAGAGCGCTCCTGGCTCCTCCTGTCTTCCGAGTGCCCCCCATAGCAAGCAGCTTGCTGTTGCTTGCACTTATTCGGGCTTGATCCTGAGCCGGGATGTATGCCCCTATTGACACACACAGTGCAGCTCAGCCCCACCCCTGCTCCCTTTTCACTGGATTTTATTGACAACAGCAGGAGCCATTGGCTTCCAGTGCTGCTGAACCTCCTTTGAGAGAGCGGGAGAAGAGCAGTGCTGCCCTAGATGGTCACAGTGCTCAGTTGAGATTGAGCTCAGGTAAGTGTTTAAGGGAGGCTGGGGGGAGCTGACTTAGAAAGGCTTAAGTCAGATAATGCATTCAGGGAAAAAACAAACCTTTTACCTCTACAACCACTTTTACTCTTTAAAATTCATTTTCTTTGCTGCTCTGATCCAACTTCATGTTAGAGAGTGGCTACATTTATTTTCCATGGCCCCACTGCATATAGGATCATAATCATCCTTACTTTCTCGCTTCTGAGATGGACTAAGGACTATGAACTATGGGATTTGTATTGTACATTAAGCAGTGCATGTAACTGCAGCAAACATGTATTGCTTGTTCCAAATAAAGGGAAATGAGGGGGGGGGGAAAGGAAAGGTTTGGGAGCTCACAGAGGATAATACAACAAGTCAGAAAAACAGAGAAAAAATGTTTAAAAAATAAATCACAGGGCCATTAGGTAGTAGATGTGTGTAGATTGTTTTGGGAGATTATAAGGATATTGCATGGTGTCACATTAAGCTGGCCATAAAACCAGTAGAGTTTTGTTTTAAAATTTTCATTTTCGCAACAATGATTTTCTAATGGTTATCAGAGTCAAATAGACATTTGTTTTTTAATCATAGTGATGAGAAAGTTCAAAGGGTCAGGATGGAAAAGTTTTCTCTCAAACAAATTAAAATTCAACTGTAAATGCGGTTTCTGATTGGGAAAATATCATAATGAAACCTTAATATGTCTGGAATTCCATTCAAATAGCAGGGCTGGATGAAATTTTAAGGGTTTTGGTACGAAATGATTTAACTCAATGATGGTAAGAAAGAATGTTCTGACCATTGATTTTTCTATAAACAAACAAATGAAAATCTTACCATGTGTGACAAGCTTTTAGTCTTAAGGTGTTACTAAACCCACAACAGTAAAATCAGTCTGTATATGCAGTAAAGTATGCTTGTTATACTCACTGTGGAGCCTAAGGAGTTAATTCTCTGCATTGTGTAAAAATGCTGTTTGATCCTGACGTCTCTGATCCTCCCCTTCTTCCAGTGCCCCCCCCCTCTTACTTCCTGATAAGACATGTTGTGTGGAGTCACTCTGCACATGATCAGTTTGATGTGAATTGCTGGAGAGTTTTTTTTTTTTTTTTGGGGGGGAGTGCATGTGATTAGCACAGGGCCAATCAGCACTTGCCATACACAGGTCAGGGGTTCTGCATCCTCCTAGAGAAGAAAGAAAACTCATACAAGCTTTAACCAGTGCTCTGCTGAACACTGATAGAAGTCACAAGACTGCTCTAACCGTTGATGAGAAAAGGTATTTCACAGTTTATATTTACTAAAATAATTGCATTTTCTTGTTCTGTGTACTGTGGGAGACCAGATATAGTGAATGCAGGGTCCTGGTTTAGTAACTCTTTAAGCCTAGTACACATGGTCAGAAAATTGTACAAAAAATACGGCTTTCGAAGCATTCGTTAGTACACAGCTTTCATCCGAAATTATTTGAAGGGACAAGCATAAAAAATTTTCTCATACAATACCAGATCATATCATACAATTTTCATTTAATTAACACAGTTTTCATCCAAAAATACAATACAATACATTACATCACTTCTGAATTCTTCTGTCGTACAAGACTTTTTGTAACTTTAGTAACCTCTTCACTTTCGATATGAGACTAGCATGCAAAAAAAAAAAACAACAATCATTCATCCGATATTCTCATCGTGAGTATGGGGCTTTACACTTTCAAGGTTTGGGGGGAAACAGTACCAATCAGAGATAATTTTCTGACATATTTGATCTTTATCTTTTTCATTATTAGTTGGCTGGTGAAAACTGCTAGTGTCAATAGACTTGAGATTGTTACCCTATCATGCCACACCAAAGTTCATTTCATCTCTATGGCCAGGACCTGGATTGATGAAAAAAATAAAGCAAAAAGTTTTATGATGTGAAAAATCTACTAATATGTTTTGGAATATGTCTACATACCCAGATCTATGCGCAAACTGGAAAATGCAAGATCCATCAATGAATGCTATTAGAATTATAGAATTCTTATATACATAAGCTAGCATATCATTTAGTTAATGTGGCTTTTTAAATAGACTTGCTTTATTTTCCAGTGGATTGGATGTAAATACAGTTCAGTATACCTGGATATTTCAGTACCATCCACTGTGTATTTAGAGTTAATGATGTGTAGCCAGCACTGAAGAGGTAAAATTCCTCTCTTACAATTTATTGTGCATGCCTGCTTCACTCACCCTGTGACCTCTCACTTTCTCCTAGTTGGACATGTTGCTGTGCTGCTGACTCTTTCATTCCACCATGGGTATCTCTGGTAAATACATACCTGCCTCCACAGAGGAGCCAGCTCCCAATGGGAAAAATGAATCCCCACTGGACAATAGTTCTCAGGAATCCATGAAACTCAAGAAGGAAATCTCCTTGCTGAATGGAGTTTGCCTGATTGTGGGCAACATGATTGGCTCTGGGATCTTTGTGTCGCCCAAGGGTGTCCTTATGTATAGTGCTTCCTATGGCCTTTCGTTAGTCATCTGGGCAATTGGAGGAGTGTTTTCAATATTCGGTGCTTTATGTTATGCTGAACTAGGTACAACTATTACCAAATCAGGAGCAAGCTATGCCTATATTCTTGAGGCCTTCGGTGGCTTTAGCCTTCATCAGACTATGGACATCCCTCCTCATTATTGAGCCTACTAGTCAAGCTGTCATTGCCATCACATTTTCCAACTACATGGTACAGCCCATCTTCCCATCCTGTCAATCACCGTACTCTGCTAATAGGCTCATCGCAGCAGTGTGTATTGGTAAGTCTGGTCGATAAGAAAACTATACATGAAAAGTTAGATTAGTTTAAGTAGAAATTTTACTTTGACATCTGTCAAAAATGACTTTTTAACAATGCTTGTTTGGTAACAAATAGGTAATTTGGCAATCTTCCTTGCTGTATAAATATGTCTTGCGGGGTCTATTTATAAATGTATTCACACAAATTTCACTCAAGATTTATATATGTATTGTGAGAATCTTTTGTTAGAGCTGCGTAAGTCTTGTGTGAAAACATATATTTATAAAATAATTTGTATCATTTGATTTGCTAGTTAATTAGTATGGATGATAGCCATTTAGGTATTGATAAAAGATCTCTAGATATGTGGCACCAAGTCTAAAAATTTAAAAAACCTATTACACACAGACTGTCCCCATGATGTCTCTTATAAAAACAATTTCAGGTTGAGGCCTTCTTTAAATAAGAACATGTTTTGTGGTACACAGAATATGTATTCCATTTACCACACTGGGATTTCTGTATTCTGTAATCAGGTTTTTGTTTTTTTTGTTAGCTGAAGACAGGATGGGCTTCCTTGAAGAGATGAGTTTTTAGTGATCGTCTAAAAGTGATCAGAGTAGGAGATAGCCAGACAGATTGGAGTAGAGAGTTCTAGAGAATGGGAAAGGATCTCGAAAAGTACTGGAGTTGAGCATGGGAGTAGGAAAAAACGGAGCTAGAGAGAAGGAGGCCTTGGGAGGAGCGGAGAGGATGGGTTAGGTGATAAATTGAGACAAGAGTGGAGATGCAGCTTGGGGAAAAGTTGTAAATGGCTTTGTATGTTCTCAGTATTTTGAATTTTATTCATTGGGCATTCAGAAACCAGTGGAGGGATTGGAAGACAGGAGTAGCGGACGCTGAACAGTTGGTAAGGTGGATGAGTTCAACAGTTGCATTTATGGTAGACTGAAGGGGTGGGGATAGCCTATGGATAGGTAGACCTATGAAGAGGGAGTGGCAACAGTCTAGGTGAGATTTAATAAGGGAGAGAATGAGTTGCTTGATTTATATGAATGTAGAGAAATGAAAACCCCAGTTCATGATACAAGATCCCCTGATAATGGCTAACTTGGGATCACTTGGGAACACTTAAAACATTGGTGCCAAACTTTCCATTTTTGGAACTCCCCAGCATCCACTGGAAACTTCAGTATCAGTTTTTTGGGTACATGATATTTTACATACTATTTAAGGTGTCAGGGCAAATCTGCACCTAATTAAACTTACAATATTTTATACTAAAACAATGACCTTTCAGTGTATGCTGTACTTCAGTTGTAAAATGCTGAGTGTCATTTATAGTTTATATAAAATCTTTCATACAGGTTTGAAACAAGTAACTCATTTCTAACTTCATGGAGCAGAATAGATTTTTTTCTATATTTAATCTTACTGCCAGAGCACACAGTTTACAAAGAACATTGAGTGCACGTCTGGCTGGCCTAGACCACTGTATTTGTCAGACTGGCGTCATGTTAACCACAGGTCATGTGTCTGATCATGTGAGTGACCCACACAGAAGTGAAACTATATGTGCACACCATTGTTGTGGTTTGATGCTAGGAAATGGTCATTCTCTCTTTTTTGCTTGCATTGTGCTTTTACTTGTAAGGCTAATCCAGTTCTATTTCGTATTCTTCCCTGACTTCTGTTTTCCTGTCCATCTCATGTTCTTCCCTTATTATTGTCTTTTGAAACTCTCTGTTCCCCGGATTGTTACATACAGGATGTGGGTGGAAAGTCGTGTACAAGGAAGTGCTAAGGATCTTCTGCTGACATCAGCAGCCAGTCCCATGACCATTGCGTACAATACATCCCTCAGTCCTATCACTCTTCTGTCAAATCACAGGCCACAAAGAGAAATTTAGGCAGGAGCAGCAGTACAGCTTCTACACAGATCAGGACTAAAGGTCTTTACTCAGCTAATGTCCATGAAAGCTGGCTAACAATAAAACACAGATTCAATCATTACAGTGCAAATTTAGACTTTAGAAGCTGAAGCCTACAAGGGTTTGTTTTATTATATTAGGTTGGATCAATCTTTTATACTGCTATCTGCAAATCTAATAGCCACAGCAATGAAATGATGAATATTTACCTTTGTGGAAATGTTTATCTGCAGACAATTGCTTTATTGCTCAGTGGGTGGTGGCTTATAGGCATAATAGTGTACCTGTGAATGTGGAATAATTGTCGCACAATCCAGGCAAATACAGTAGTATGGCATGCCTATGGGTAAAAAGAATCACATCCATGGTTCATTCTTTGTCCCAGTGAACAGCTGGTTTGGATTTTTTTCAGTCAGTTACTAATTACTTCCAGTTCCATGGGTGTCTTGCTGCCTCTCTGCCACTGTCTTCTCCATAATTACAATTCCATTTTTGAGGCAAGAAATATGCACATTAATAGAAAAGCATTCAAAATTGATGGTTTGACAGTCATACATTGAATCCTCATCCAATATACACTATATTGCCAAAAGTATTGGGACGCCTGTCTTTACACTAACATGTGAACTTTAAGGAAATCCCAGTCTTAGTCCGTAGGGTTCAATACTGAGTTGGCCCACCCTTTGCAGCTATAACAGCTTCAACTCTTCTGGGAAGGCTGTCCACGAGGTTCAGGAGTGCGCCTATGGGAATGTTTGACCATTCTTCCAGAAGCGCATTTGGGAGGTTGGCACTGATGTTGGACGAGAAGGCCTGGCTCTTTGTCTCTGCTCTAATTCATCCAAAAGTGTTCTATGGGTTGAGGTCAGGACTCTGTGCAGGCCAGTCAAGTTCCTCCACCCCAAACTCACTCATCCATGTCTTTATGGACCTTGCTTTGTGCACTGGTGTGCAGTCATGTTGGAACAGGAAGGGGCCATCCTCAAACTGTTCCCACAAAGTTGGGAGCATGAAATTGTCCAAAATGTCTTGGTATGCTGACACCTTAAGAGTCCCCTTCACTGTAACTAAGGGACCAAGCCCAACCTCTGGAAAACAACCCCACACCATAATCCCCCCTCCACCAAACTTTACACATAGTACAATGCAGTCAGACAAGTACCGTTCTGGCAATCACCAAACCCAGACACGTCCATCGGATTGCCAGACAAAGCGTAATTTGTTACTCCAGAGAATATGTCTCCACTGCTCTAGAGTCCAGTGGCAGCGTGCTTTACACCACTGCATCTGAATCTTTGCATTGCACTTGCTGATGTAAGGCTTGGATGCCGCTGCTCGGCCATGGAAACTCATTCCATGAAGCTCTCTATGCACTTTTTTTGTGCTAATCTGAAAGCCACATGAAGTTTGGAGGTCTTTAGCTATTGGCACTGCAGACAGTTGGCGACTTCTGCGCACTGTGCGCTTCAGCATGCGCTGACCCCACTCTGTCATTTTATGTGGCCTATCACTTGGTGGCTGAGTTGCTGTTTTTCCCAGTTGCTTCCACTTTGTTATAATACCACTAACAGTTGACCATGGGATTTAGTAGCAAGGAAGTTTCACTGGTGGACTTATTGCATAGGTGGCAAACCATCACGGTACCACTTTGAGTTCACTGAGCTCCTGAGAGCGACCCATTCTTTCACAAATATTTGTAGAAGCAGTCTGCATGCCTAGTTGCTTGATTTTATCCACTTGTGGCCATGGAGGTGATTAGAACACCTGAATCCAATGAATTGGGTGGGCTGTACCAATACCTTTGGCAATATAGTGTATGTTGACAGCTATTACTGTACAAATAGTTAGGTTCAAAAAACACACACTATCTATCTATCTATCTATCTATCTATCTATCTATCTATCTATCTGTCTGTCTTTCTATATATATATCTATGTGATCTGCATTTTGTTTAACCTAAGAGTAACTTGTGTTACAAATAACGAGTCGGTGTATGGTCCGGCGGCCATCTATGTAAGTTCGGCTGCTTGTTTTTGTATTCCACGTGGATTTTTCTATTTAATGGTTTTTTATTATAAATTTTTTAACTATGTAAAACACACCACGCAGGGGCTATCAATTGCACAGATAAACAAAATGCAAAATAAAAAAAAAAAAAGGGGAAAAACAATGCTCTAATGCCAACAGGGCAAAAGGTACGCCCACGCAGGGGCTATCAATGGTACATAAGTTACAAAACATTAATGTAACTGATTATAACAACTAAATGCATCTGTCCTAGTCACACCAAAAACAGAGAGAGAGAGAGAAAAAGGAAAAGAAAAAAAAAAGAAAAAAGGGGGGGGCAAAGAGCAGGGATTCAAGAGCGCGCAACACCGAACGCCATTACATCCCCAGACTAGCCGGGGAGAGTGAGGGAAGGGCATATTGCAACCACGGCTCCCATATTTTCAAAAATTTACGTTGGGAGTCATTGCGGATACTCGACATCTGTTCGTTGAGCATCATAGTGGTCATACGATCCCGCACCCCCTGAAGAGGGACAAACGGACTCTTCCAGGCCTGAGCAATTGTTTTCTAGTGGCGGATAAAAACAGATAGGCAGCCAACTTCTGCTGGTGAGCCAAGAGGCCCGGTATGGGGCAATGAAGCAAGGCATACCGAACATCCCGGCGTATGGAGAGATGAAACAAGGTGAAAAGTCCACGTGGATTTTTAACTGTTTTGAATAAAATACTACACTATACACCTTTCTCTGGGCTCCGTGTGGTGAGCTATTTTTATAAAGGTGTGTCCTGGTTACCTCTGATCGGATCTGTCAAGAGGAATGAGTGATGGAGGCTGTCAGATTGCAGTAATACTGTGGGTTTTTACCAGAGTTCTGGTGAGTGCATAGAGGTGAAGGTTTTCATGGAAGAGGTGTCACTGCCGGACTGATGTTACTGGTTCATACGTCTATAAAAGTTATTGGACTTTTTCCTTTTACACAAACTGTTTATTTTGATTTGGTGTTCATCTATATATGCATGTTATATATGCAAGTTTGTAAATGTAATGCCTGATGGCTTTATAATGTTGATTATGAGGTTCTTCATCTCACTAGATTATTCACAATCATTTCGGAGTTTAATTTGATAGAAATTGATTTTTCTTTATATTTATATTATATATATATATATATATCTATATGCTATATATTATTATTTATATATATAGTGGTGCACAGTTTGTTATTTATCAGCTCTCTGGGTATGGTCCAAGCTCTCACTAGTGCCCTCTTGTTTTGTAACTTGTGTTATAGAAGCCTTTCTCAATCAGGGTTGCTAGAGGTTCCTTGAGTTTATTGATTTCCCATTTGATTGTGTCTGTATAGTTCCTGGATCAATGTTAGTTGGCAATGTTACTTCGCATAACCAGCTGCATGACACCAATGATTTTTGTTCACTGTCTGTAAGGGTGGCATTCTGACAACCCCTGTACACACCTTCTTCCAACTGACCACCAATGTAATGGCCATTTTTTTTCCATTGACCTTCAAGGATTGGTTTTAACAATATCTGAGAATTATTTCACGGATTCCTCTGGGGAAAAAGGTTATGAAAGGCTGTGTTATAGCTTTATTGTTCATTTATTATTAAAGCAATACTAAAGGCTTACATTTTTTTTCTAAAAATAGCAAACATGTTATACTTACCTGTGTGCAGTAGTTTTGCAGCCCGAATCCTCCTCTTCTTGGGTCCTCTGCACGCTCTCCTGATCGCTCCCTCCTGTCGGGTGCCCCCACAGCAAGCAGCTTGCTATGGGGGCACCTGCTGCTCTGTGTGTCCATTCACACACAGAGCCGTGGCTTGGCCTGCCCCTCTATTTCTCATTGGCTTGCTGGCTGTGATTGACAGCCAATGGCTCCCTTTGCAGTCTCAGTCAATGAGGAAAGAGTCCCGGGATAGCCGAGACTCCAATTCACATTGCTGGATTGAGAGGTGACTTAGATGAGCATGCATAGAATGCATGAAGGTAAAAAACCTTGAGCCTTTACAAACACTTTAAAGTATATCCAAAGGAAAAAACACTGAGTAGTTAAAGCAGACCTTGCAGTAAAGTACAATGGTCACTTACAATGTCTAGGTCCTTGCCCCCTGTATAGGTCATTAGCTGTATGTACAGAATATGCAAAAGTTATCTTGTAAAGAAGAAACCCCTGTCTTCTGCCTGTGGTGCCTAGGCAAGAGTTACATCACACTCCTTCAGTCAAAATCCTGAAAAATACAGAGTAGCCCAAATGTTTTCTTGAGTGTCTTCATATGAGATTTGGCCTGCTCTTCATTCCTCTGAGTCTTTGAATGATGGTGAAGTCACACCAACTTTGCAGGAGATAGGTGTAAGGAAAATATAAATCTAACCTCTTTCTTTACAGTTACATTTTGCACATAACTAAATGCTAATGATTTTTGCAGGAGGAGGACATTGTATGTGGACCTTGAATGTTACTTGCAAGATTTTATCATTGTCTGTATCCTTGTTGGGTTGATTTACCTCTTTAGTTGTCCTGATAACCATTACCAACTGTACAGAAAGTAATCGGAAACCCAAAATGTTACTGCTGTCACTAAACAGAAATAGGTTAATCCTCCAATGGGGGCACCTGTTCCTTGAACACTTATCAATGAAAGAAATTTGTCCTCCTTTAGAAAGATTTCCATGTTGTGTTTCCAAGACATGAAAGAAAGGGAAATTTCCCTAATAGGACACAGAAGTTTTAATCTTTCCCTACTGTATCAAAAACTTAAATAATTGTCCTTAGATGTACGTTAGGTATTTTTTATTATTTTATATTAACAGTTAATATGGTAGAATTACAATATTATTGTGAGATTTATAGATGATATATATCAGTGCTGGAATGATAATGTAATATTGACCATGTTTAAAATGATATAAATTGCTTTTTATACCTTATTCTGCATTGTGAAAGACAGCTGCATTCTTCTACAGTATAATTTTTTCTCTTGTTTATGTACATTCTAGCACTTCTGACCTTTGTGAATTGTGCCTATGTTAAATGGGGCACCCGTGTCCAGGATGTGTTCACTTATGCCAAAGTCCTGGCTCTGATTGCAGTGATCATCGCAGGAATTGTAAAGCTTGCTCAAGGTAAGGCACTGGAGGAAAAAGAGGAAGAGTTATTGCAGAAAGCAAACTATGTTAATGCGTAGAAGGAATACCATGCTTGGGAAATTCAGATTTCAAATTTATAAAATGTTATTCAAGAATCAAGAGCAATCAAAATGCACTTTATTTTGATAATATAAAAGGTAATTTTTCTAATCAAAAACCCTGTTGATGCTTCAGTGTGGACTACAGAGGGTTCTTTTCACAACTCACAATTTTGCATAAAGTAAGCCCTTACTAACTGGGGGGGGGGGGGGGGGCATTGTTGCTGCTCCCCTTCTGAGAATGTTAATTACCTTGCTGCTAAATGAAAATCTACCTTCAGTTTCTTCTGATCCATTGTCTTGGAACTAGTGTGCAGATCATAAAAGACAGATGAAAGTCAGAAGTGCTTAAATGTTACTAAACCCAGGACCCTGCAATCACTATATCTGGTCTCCCACAGTACACGAAACAGGGAAATGCGATTATTTTAATAAATATAAACTGCTAAATACTGTTTCTCATCAGCAGTATATAGCAGTCTTGTGACTTCTATCAGTGTCCAGCAGAGCACTGGTTAAAGCTTGTAGGAGGAGTTTTCATTCTCCCTGATTGTCCTATGAGACTGCAAGACCCCTGACCCTCTGTCTGGACAGTGTTGATTGGCCCTTTGCTGATCACATGCACTCTCCTAAGAATAAAACTCTAGCAATACACACCAAACTGAGCATGTGCAGCTTGCCCCCAAGGCTCTGTAATATCAGCAGATTGAATGCGGGAATGAAGAAGGAAAGGATCAAAAGAAGACAAGATCAAACACTTTTTTTTTACACAATGCAGAGGATTAACCCCTTAGGTTCTAAAGTGAGAATAACAAGCATGCTTTACTGCATATACAGACTGATTTTACTGTTGTGGGTTTAGTAACACTTTAACTGCATACTTATTTAAGGTTAGTTGCTCAATACAAGTTGTCCCTAAAGTCTGGACACATAGGCAAAATGCATATGTTCAATACATTTTTCAACAACATTTTGTTTCATTGGAATATTAATCAATAACATCTTCAATGTGATTTCCACCATTTTTGATGCAACGTTCCATGTGCTTTGCAAGGTTCACATGAACCCGATGCAGTAACTCCACATTTCCGTCAATATGAGCACATCTATTCATGATGCGTTCCTTCAGGTGATTCATATCTGTGATTTACATTGAGTACACCTTCTTCTTTAGCATACCCCTAAAAAAAGAAGTCAAAGGGGTTAAGGTCTGGTGAGCCTTATATAGTGATATAATTATACACACACACACACATATATAGTGATATATATACACACATATAGTGATATTTCCTGTGTCCAGACTTTAGCGACACCCTGTACATTGAATTAATAGGGTCAGCATGACAGCCAAGAAAGTAGCATTTCCAGAATAAGAGGTGAGCAATGGCAGCCTCCGTGCTTCTCTCAGATTTGGTTTCCTTTAAACTCAAATGATTCTGTTATGACTTGGTATATTGGGATGAGAAATAGTAGAGTTCTTTTGTCAGCGGTAAAGTGAAGGACAAGGTTGTACAGGAATCAACATTTTATTTGTTATAGAAAACACATCTGAGAGATAGTTCTAACACATAGCTCACGACTGTCCTTCATTTGGAGGGACTGCCTCTTTTGAGACCGAATCCATCTATTCCTCATGCAGTCTCAGTTGTCCCTGTTTTTTGGTCAAATGTGTACATGTCTACACAAAAATTGTACTATTTAACTACCAAAAGTTTTATGCCACACTAAAAGTCCTAAAACATATTTATAAAAGGGATTTTTTTCTGAATTTTCATGTTTTTTTTCTATTGGAAATATGCTTGTTGATACTTTTAAATCATACATTTGTTCACATACAGTTTACCATGTGTAAAAAATGTATCACAGCAAATCAATACATATAACATACAGTGAAGGAAATAAGTATTTGATTCCCTGCTGATTTTGAATGTTTGCCCACTCACAAAGAAATGATCAGTCTAAAAGTCAAATGGTAGGTGTCAGGGGCAGACTGACAACTCATGGGGCCTCCGGGCAATAGGGGATCATGGGGCCCCTGTGTCCTCGCCCACACTCAAACCACACCCAAAAAAGCTTATGAAATGTACCAGGGGCATCTCATGGGGCCAACTACTGACCCCGGGCCCTTGGCCAGTGCCCGAGTTCCCAAATGGTTAGTCCGTCCCTGGTAGGTGTATTGTAACACTGAGAGACAGAATAGCAACAAAAAATTCAAAAGAAATGCATGTCTAACAAATTAAGCACTGATTTGCATGTTCATGTGGGAAATAAGTATTTGATCCCCTATCATTCAGCAGGATTTCTGGCTAACAGGTGTCTTTCATTCAGGTAACAAGCTGAGATTAGAAGCAGTCTCTTAAAGGGAGTGGTGCTAATTTCATTTTGTTACCTGTATAAAAGACACCTGTCCACAGGAGCAATCAACCGGATTCCAAACTCTCCACCATGGCAAAGACCAAAGAGGTGTCCAAGGATGTCAGGGACAAGATTGTAGACCTACACAAGGCTGGACTGGGCTACAAAACTATCGCCAAGCAACTTAGTGAGAAGTTGACAACAGTTGGTGCAATCATTCGCAAATGGAAGAAACACAAAACAACTGTCAGTCTCCCTAGGTCTGGTGCACCATGCAAGATCTCACCTCGTGGAGTGTCAATGATCATGAGAACAGTAAGGAATCATCCCAAAACTACACGTGAGGATCTTGTCAATGATCTCCAGGCAGCTGGGACCACAGTGACCAAGAAAACAATTGGTAACACACTACGCCAACAAGGATTGAAATCCTGCAGTGCCCGCAAGGTCCCTCTGCTCAAGAAAGCACATGTCCAGGCCCATCTGAAGTTTTCAACTGAACATCTGAATGATGCAGAGGAGGACTGGTTGTTGTGGTCAGATGAGACCAAAATCAAGCTCTTTGGTATCAACTCAACTTGCCGTGTTTGGAGGAGGAGGAATGCTGCCTATGACCCCAAGAACACCATCCCAACTGTCAAACGTGGTGGAAACATTCTGCTTTGGAGATGTTTTTCTGCTAAGGGGAAAGGACAACTTCACCGCATCAAAACGACGATGGATGGGGCAATGTACCATGAAATCTTGGGTGAGAGCATTCTTCCCTCAGCCAGGGCATTGAAAATGGATGGGTGTTCCAGCATGACAATGACCCAAAACACAGGGACAAGGCAACAAAGGAGTGGCTCAAGAAGAAGCACATTAAGGTCCTGGAGTGGCCTTGCCAGTCTCCAGACCTTAATCCGATTGAAAATCTGTGGAGGGAGCTGAAAGTTCGAGTTGCCAAATGTCAGCCACCAAACCTTAATGACTCTGAGAGGATCTGCCAAGAGGAGTAGGCCAAAATCCCTCCTGAGATGTGTGTAAACCTAGTGGCCAACTACAGGAAACGTCTGACCTCTGTGATTGCCAACAAGGGATTTGCCACCAAGTACTAAGTCATGTTTTGTGAAGGGGATCAAATACTTATTTTCCTCATAAACATGCAAATCAGTGCATCATTTGTTAGACATGCATTTTATTTTGAATTTTTTTGTTGCTATTCTGTCTCTCAATGTTACAATACACCTACCATTCGATTTTTAGACTGATCATTTCTTTGTGAGTGGGCAAACATTAAAAATCAGCAGGGGACCAAATACCTATTTCCTTCACTGTATACTAAAAAGAAAAAAAAAGTCAAACACCTGAGGTATTAATGTTATATAAGGGTTTTTTTTTTACATGGGAGGTCTGATTCTCCTGTTGATCTGAACGGAAACTCAGTGTTATTCTATGGGCAGGCAGATGTAAACAGACGTGCATCTCTTTACATTCATTTACCTCCAACTCTGTCTAGCTCCAAACAAAACCCCAAAGGTTTATGTCCTTTTTTGGATCCGAATGTAACATACTGGAACTTAAAGGATAGAGATGCATATCTGTTTACATGTGCCAGTCCTTCGACCTAACATGGGTCTGGTTACAGGCTGAAGGAAAATGGTTTTAATTCCTTCTGAAAGCCTTAAAAATGTGTCTACCAAGTTCTTCATTATTGTAAACTTGTACTGTGGTGATTCAGATTAAAGTGAAAGAAGAAGATCCATCTATTAACTACTAGAAGCCACTCTGAAAATGTTTTTCTTTTCTTAAATATGCATCAAGACTGTCAGCCTGGACAGTATGTGCCAAAGGGCCGCATGCAGTCCCTAGGCCATAGATTGGGCACCAGGGGTGTAGGGGCTTAGCTATGGTGTGAAACTATTACTTTACCTGGAATATGGGCAGCACAATGGCTAAATGGTTATCATTTCCTCCTGGAAGTACTAGGGTTGTTGGTTTGAATCCCAACCACAGCACCACCTGCCTAGAGTTTGCATGTTCTCCATGTGCCTGCGTGGGTTTCCTCTGGGTACGTTGGTTTTCTCCCACACTCCAAAGACATGCTGGTAGGTTAATTGGATCCTGTCATAGTATGTGTATGAATGTAAGTTAGGGACCTTAGATTGTATGCCCCTTGATGGTTTGGGACTGATATGAATATATAATATATATGTAAAGCACTGCGTAAATTGACAGTGCTATATAAGTACCTGCAATAAAATAAATAGGCAAAGCAGAGGTTTGCTTTATAAATAGGGATTCTTGGTAATATAGAGATTCCATGTTTAATTCCAAATATATATATTTGGCTCCCCAGCTGCATCAAATGTCTCCTATGTAATCAATATTATACTAGCTGCAAAATGATAAGTTCACAACTATGCTCGCAGTTGTTTCATATGTAACTCTACTGTCTTTGGATTGTCAGGTCGTACAGAGAACTTTGATGATACTTTCGCTGGTTCCTCCTATGATGTTGGGCATATTGCTCTTGCTCTGTATTCAGCCCTCTTCTCTTACTCGGGTTGGGACACACTGAACTTTGTCACTGAAGAAATAAAGAACCCAGAGAGGTGAGATTATTATGTGGACAATGGAAGAGTCCAGCATGAAGGGGTATGAATGAGGAACTAGCCTACAACCTACAGGAAGGAAACCACAGGCCGTAATGACAAAATGCTTACTATAGATGACCAGCAGTTAGTTCAATAGTTAGTGTCACTTTCTTACTGAATATTCATACACATATTCAATGGTATTTTAGATGCAAGTTGTACAATTTTTTGCATTGTTGGCCATACATCTCAAAATATGATTGTCCAATCTTTACTAGATATACCAACAACTGATCTAGTGAAGATTGTACAATCATTTTGTATATTGTAAGATTATTGTAAGTGTAAAACTTTGAAGGCCGATGGGCCAGAAATAGTTGGAAAAACAAGGACAAATTTCGGCAATAGTGATTTTTTTTAGATACTAGATTACTGTTAAAATTGATGAAGAAGAAGAAGAGGATTCTGTGTTTGCACACATTTTAATTTTGAAGAAGAAGAAGAAGAAAAATTCAAGATTAATTTTCTATTTGTTATGTGAAGAAGAAGAAGAAGAAAATATATCTGATGAAAAATAAATATAAAAAAAAAATCTGCCAACAATTGTGTGGTGCATCGCTATTTCTTTGACAGTTCTCCAGTTCCGACATTAGCGGTTGGTTATAACATGAATGGATTGTTTAGGAGCCAAAGAAATTTTAATTGTAGTCGGGATGAAAATATACTGGATGATTATAAAAGAAAAAACAGGTAGGTGGTTTTAGGGTCAAATAATATAGGACAAAAAAACAGAACAAATTTCAGAGAAGCAATAAGATGAAGGTATGAGCTATTACAATAGATGAGCTGCTCTGACATTGTGATGAACTGTTAACTGGAAGTTGCCAACCTAGGATATAGGTGCCTTAAAGTGGAACTGAGGTTCCATAGTAAGAAACAGCAAGCAGGCAGGCTTTTATTGCAAAAGAGACATTAACTGTCTGTTCTGCAATAAAATGTACCTACCTGCATGCTCACTGTCTTCACTCTGCACTCTAAACTGGACTGTGCATGTGCAGCTCAGCTTACAGCATAGCACTGGTCTCTGAGTGCTGGGATGTTGACGTTCTGCACATGCACAGGAGTGAAGTTGTCCCCTGCCGGCCAATGAAGAGGTCTGAAGTCTGGCACCCAGAAGAATATGCTAGTGCAAGACCTTTTGGACAGGTGAGTATTAGTACCTTTAGTTACTTTAACATTACCTGCTGCACTCAATGGTGTCATACCTGAAGTAGTTGAAAACTTTAAACGATTCCAGGCATGGTATAATTTTACGTAGTTCCATTGGTCCAGCTCTGGCCAATGTAACTACTCATATGCCATACCTGTCTGAAGACCCTGGAAGCTGGAATTCACTGACGTTGACACTGTTCCCCCAGTGATCTAAACTTGCTTATGGGCCCCACGCCAAGCAGCTGGCCTGATGCATTCTGAACGCAGGAAGTTGGCTGCTCAGCATTGGGTGCCATTCAGAGAATGCTTTACTTCTTCTAAATGAATGCAAAGTGTTCTCTGATTGAACAAGGTGGAGAAGCGGGGCAGTGACATTACACCCTCCACCGTGTCCAATCAGTAGGGTCTACTTCAGTGATTTCCAGCTTCCAGGGCCATCAGCCAGACATGGCATATACATAATTACAGTGGACCAATGTAATTATTTCTAATGCAGCAATGCCTGGAATTATTATTTAAATTACACTAACAGGAGAGCTCAGGTACCAGGACAGGAAATTAGTTTGTGATAGGTGAAGCAGGTTAAAGGGGAGAAACAAGAGATCATGTTAGAAATTCTGTATATAGCCCTATGGAACAAATAGTACACAGTCCACATGTACGTTTCTGCTTCACTGTAACAAGGAAACAGGAAACTTCATTCAGTAAAAAGACACAGAGTTTACCACAGATGCAGCTACAAATTTATAAACACTTCCATCTACTGGTTGAAGAATATATCTCCACTGAATATTGATGTAGTTGTTGCACAAAATACAAGAACACTGTATTCCAACAGATAGCCTTTCCATCCTCAAATTCTTTGTTTATGTACTCCGCAGAAATTTACCCTTGGCCATTGGGATCTCTATGCCTATTGTGACTGTGATTTACCTGCTGACCAATGTGGCCTATTACACAGTGCTGGATATGCACTCCATTCTGGAAAGTGATGCTGTGGCTGTGGTAATTTCACTTTACATGTTTTCTTCTGAAAATAGTAGCCTTTGTTTTATGCTTCTGGATTTAGAAATCTGTGTTTCAGATTGTCTTCATGTAGAACATGTATTGTATTGTTGATTAAGTAGTTACCTTTATTTTTATTTCCTGCTTAACAATGGCTGGGAGAGTTTCTAGAATTTCAGCATTCATTTGTTAAAGCATATCCAAACCCCCCCACCCAATAAAAATCAATATATTCCATCTTACTAGTTCTTAGATGTTGATGGCTGCATTTGTTTTCTTTTTCCTGCTAAGAACATTACAGAAAATACCCATTGATCTTACCAGAAATGCAATATCCTTGTCATTTCCTGTGAGATGAAGACAGCAAAAACAATCTTATCTTTCTTTTCTAAACTACTAATCCCATTAACCTACCATGTAATGGAGATAAACAAAGAAAAACAGGTTTGAAGTCCAGCCTGTATGACAACCTTGGCTCTTTCCATAGATTTCATAGAGGAATGAGTGTTCTCACCCTAGGAAAGGAAGCATGTTACTGGCAGGAAAAAAATAAAAGAAAAAAAATTCAAAAAAAAAATTAAAGGAACACTTTGAAAACACATCAGATCTCAAAGGGGAAAAATCTCATGCTGGATATCTATACTGATATGGACTGGGTAACATGTTAAAAACGTAAGGATGCCCCATTGTTTGGTGGAAATGAAAATGATCAACCTACAGAGGACTGAATTCAAAGACACCCCGAAAATCAAAGTGAAAAAATTATGCAGCAGGCTAGTCAATTTTGCTGAAATTTCATTGCAGCAACTCACAATGGTACTCAGTAGTTTGTATGGCCCCCACGTGCTTGTATGCATGCCTGACAATGTCGGGGCATGCTCCTAATGAGATGAAGGATGGTGTCCTGGGGTATTTCCTCCTAGATCTGGACCAGGGCATCACTGAGCTCCTGGACAGTCTGAGGTGTCACCTGGCAGCATCGGATGGAAAGAAACATAATATCCCAGAGGTGTTCTATTGGATTTAGGTCAGACAAGTGTAGAGTCCATTCAATGATAACAATTCCTTCATCCTCCAGGAACTGCCTGCATACTCTCGCCACATGAGGCTGGGCATTGTCGTGCACCAGGAGGAACCCAGGACCCACTGCACCAGCGTAGGGTCTGACAATGGGTTCAAGGATTTAATCCCGATACCAAATCGCAGTCAGGGTGCCATTGTCTGTCTAGCCTGTAGAGGTCTGTGCATCCCTCCATGGATATGCCTCCCCAGACCATCACTGACCCACCATCAAAACAGTCATGCTGAATGATGTTACAGGCATCATAGCGATCTCAACAGCTTCACCAGACCCTTTCATGTCTGTCACGTACTCAGGGTGAACCTGCTCTCATCCGTGAAAGGCATAGGGCGCTAGTGGCGGATCTGCCAGTTCTTGTGTTCAATGGCAAATGTCAGTCGATGTCTATGGTACAGGACAGTGAGTACAAGGTCCACAAGAGAACATCGGGCCCTCCAGGCACCCTCATGAAGTCTGTTTCTGATTGTTTGGTCAGAGACATTCACACCAGTGGCCTGCTGGAGATCATTTTGTAGGGCTCTGGGAGTGTTCATCCTGTTCCTCCTTACACAAAGGAGCAGATACCGGTCCTGCTGATGGGTTAAGGACTTTCTATGGCCCTGTCCAGCTCTCCTAGAGTAACTGCCTGTCTCCTGGAATCTCTCCATGCTCTTGAGACTGTGCTGGGAGACACAGCAAACCTTCTGGCAATGGCACGTATTGATGTGTCATCCTGGAGGAGTTTGGACTGCCTGTGCAACCTCTGTATGGTCCAGGTATCACCTCATGCTACCAGTAGTGACACTGACCTTAGTAAAATGCAAAACTAGTGAAAAACAGTCAGAAAAGAGGAGTAGGGAAAAAATGTCAGTGACCTTCACCAGTAAAACCATTTCTGTTTTGGGGGTCTTGTCTTTGTTGCCCATTTAGTGCACCTGTTCTTAATTTCATTAACACCAAAGCAGCTGAAACTGATTAACAACCCCCTCTGCTGCTTAACTGACCAGACCAATATCTCAGGAGTTTTATTGACTCAATGCTATACTTTGATTAAAAAGTGTGCCTTTCATTTTTTAGAGCAGTGTATTACATTTTTTTGTTTAGATACACTTTAAAGTGGAAAAGCAGCCACAAACAGTGGGAATACATATACACAGGGCCAGTGCTAGACTATTTTGTGTCCTAGGCAAGACCAGCTACTTGCGCATTGCTCCCCCCCCCCTTTCCCCCAAAGAAAATAAATAAATTTTTTTACACAATAGAAAACATTACATCAACAAAACATGAAACTGCTCAATTTCTTTTAATTTGCAAAAGTGCCATAAGATGCCATCAGCACCAATATTAACCGCTTTCCTGCCGCCCTATAGCAGAAATACTACTACAGGGAGGCAGGGTGCACAAGATCACGTATATATACGTGATTTTGCATATCCGGGTAGGGGGCGTGTGCGAGCCGCGCTCGCCCTACCCGCACCACCATTCTCGGCCTCAGCTGTCAATCACCTGGATTACTCACCAGCACCCGGTGATCACCTGGTATTACCGAAGGGAGAGAGAACTGTATGTAAGCAATACAGTTCTCTCCCCTGTCAGCTCCAGTGTGCTGGAGCTGACAAAGCAGAGCCATACAAAGCAGTGTGCTTACAGTGTAAAGCACAGACACAGCCTCATAGTAAAACACACACAGCACACAGTTAACCCTTTGATCGCCCCAGATGTTAACCCCTTCCTGCCCAGTGTCTTTAGTACAGTGTCAGTGCTTTTTATTAGCAATGATCACTGTATTGGTGTCACTGGGTATGTCAGTGACACCAAGTCCGTTCCCCCCAGTGTCAGAATGGCCGCTGCAGTCCCGCTATAAGTCACTGATCGCTAGTAAAAAAAAAAAATAAACAAAATTCCATTATACATACCGCCATTTGTAAATGCTATAACTTTCACATAAACCAAGTAATTTATACGTACTGGAATTTTTTTAGCAGACATGTCGCAGAATACATTTTGGCAAAATTTATGATGAAATTTGATTGTTAAAATTTTTTACTGGACATGTTTAATAGCATAAGGTAAAAAATATTGTTTTTTTCTCAAAATTGTCGGCTTTTTTTATTTACAGTGCAAAAAATTAAAAACGCACAGGCGATCAAATACCACCGAAAGAAAGCTCAATTTGTGGGAAAAAGGACATAAATGGTTTTCATTTGGGTATTACAGTGGTAAATGACAGCCCATTCCCTCCCTCCCTCCCTCCATGCCCACCAACCAGCTAAATACTATGGGGGTGGGATATTACATGTAGATTGAGGGAGGCTTCACCTCCCTGTTGTTCTAAGACACAGGCTGGGGGATATGACAGAAATCTGCCCACATCATATTATTGCCAAACAATAATAAAGATTGGATTTCAAATATATAGTATATTTGTATGACAATTTAAATCAGTTTATTGATATGAAATTTATTTTTACTCTCTGCTGCTGGTCACATTTTCAAAAAAACAGCCTTTGGGATACAGAGGACTAGAAATTCCTTCTGCGTATGTTTCCCTGCAGACAGGCTGGGAAAGATCTGAGTCATGTGACAGATGTATATCGATTAGGGAAAAAGGCACTTAGATTTATATTTTATTAAAATAATTACAGTGCCATCATCCATATACAGAAATAGAAGGGATAATAAATTAAACAGCGTGTGTTTAGTATCACTTTAAGCTTTGCTATTTCAGCTTTACTAAATGGTTGTCTGAACAGGCTTGGGTATTGGGTGACACAGGTAGCTGTACTTGTGAACCAGGAAAAAAAGTGTGTCATCTACCTGGCTAAGCAGTGTAGCAAAAATATGAAACTCACAAAAATACCTACATAAAATGAAAAAATATATAAAAAGAGAAAATCATATGCATTTCAGCTGTGTGTTTAGAAGTTTTCCTGATGTTCTGCTAAAAAGTGTCAATTTTGTTTGCCTAAGAAGAGGAAAAAATAGATACAAACTATAAAAAGGAAAATTCATTAATTCTGTTAACAATACAAAACAGCAAAATATAAAAGGAGGAATGTGAGTTTGCTACAAACAGTTTTGGCAGTAAAAGAGATTCTCTGTCTTCACATCATTTAGTCAATGTGGTCCTGGATCCCTCTTTTCCCAGACATTCGCTGATCAGATATTTGGAATATTTAACTGGACGATCCCACTTGCCGTGGCTCTGTCATGCTTCGGAGGACTGAACGCTTCTATTCTTGCTGCTTCCAGGTAACAGAACTGGTTACTAACCTATCTCTGTAATTATTACACAAAAATAGTTTTTTTTTTTTTGTTATCATTTGTTATTATCCAATTAGTGTGCTTTTTACTTTTACCTGAAAATACACCTTGCAGGTCAGCCTAAGAAAGCAGTCAGAGCAGTAGTCATTCCACATCAGTTAGTTGCCTGTACCAGAATAGTATTGTGGGGTAATCAATCTAGCCTAAGGGCTTGTTCACCACTATCAGCAGTGACCTGCATTCACTGTACTGGATAAATACAGATCATTGCTAGGGCACATAGAAAACAATTGTTTGCTATGTGACCCATTCACACCACAACACTGCTGTGATGTGCAGGGCTGTGAGATGCAGTAATGTGCAGTATGTCTACAGTACACTGGATGGCACCGCACGGCATCACACAGCAGCAAAATGCACCACAGTGCTGTGCAGTGACACAAATGAAGCTTTGCAACACTTCAAATAGAGTTAAAGTAACGTAATGTGACCCTCAAACCCTCACCTTGTAAAACAACTCATTCAGTATAAAATAGAAATGAAAAGTAAAACATCTGTAAATAGATATAAAAAAGTTTTAAATACTCTTTTTTTTCTTTTGTATAAGTGATCACATTCCCTGTTCTCAGATGCATAAGAGCTAGGGGAGAAAAAACAGAAGCACAGTGGTTTTCCAAGTGAATGGTAATTGGGGGGAGAGCGCTGAGTTCCCAGCATAGCTAAAAAAACTGACCATGCTGTGCTCTCATGCCTAGTGTTCCCAGTTTTTAATAAAAAGCAGAGCTGTGACTGGCATGAACACCAATGCTTTGACACAATGGAAGCAATACAAAGGGAACAGGATACTTTTTCATATAAGTACATGGTACAGCAGGCACTTATCAGGAATATGAAATGTTGGGTTTACATATTCTTTAACTGCTTCCCAACCACCCTATAGCAGAAGTACTGCTACAGGGCGGCAAGGATGCGCAAAATCACATGTGTGTATACATATATATATAGTAGTAAACGCAGGTTACTATGCTTCAGCTATAAATGGACAAAGTCAATGATTGGTACCGATCACTGTCCATTCAGACAAGGCAGGGGCCGGTAAATGACATATTTCCATCCTGACAGAGAGCACACAGAAACCCAGAGAGAGCACAGGGGGACCAGGAGAGAGGGCAGGGGCCCTGGGCAGCAGAAAGAAGATGGTAGGAGGTTCTGAAAGGTGGCACATAGAGAAATCGATTCATCCTGTTCTCTCCTGCAGCCACCTGGAGGAGGAGAAGCGGGCATTCAGTGGTGGCAAGAGAGAAATGGATGGATCGGTTCCTCTATATGCTGCCACTCCTATCAGGTGTACAGGGGGACACACGGACCAACTGGAACATGGGGCCAAGTTGCAACTTCAACTCCCGTGGTCCAGCGGCACTGGCCCAAAGGGCAAATGCTTAGTGTGCTCTATGGTCAGTCTAGGCCTGCTGTGGAGTTACCTCAAGCATTGTTATTAGCCATGGTCAATTCACCTTTATGGACAACAGAGCATCTGTAGGAGAAGATATCCTACAAGGACAGTCAGGGCCTTGCTCCCATGAAGCCAAATGAGGTGGCCACCTCAGGCAGCACTTATGGAGGCAAAATAAAGGGCAGCTCTGAAGCTGGAGTGTCCATACTGGACACTTGGTCAGCGTATGTTCAAACCCCAGGCAGTACAGTGGGTGGTGGGTGCTGTATTCCTGTCTCCTGTGGATCTGGTGCACCTTTCACTTAAAATGCTTAGCCGGTAGATGAATTTATATTAGACATGTTTGGTTCATTTTGTTCCAAATAGAAATGCGAACAAAATTTTCATTATTCGGAGATTCGGATGCGATTACAATAGTAATGAACTTAAACAAATCAGACATAACAAAATTAAATATCGTCTGAAATAACTATTTAATTGGAAAAGAGTAGAATAGAAAAGAACAGACTTAAATAGAATAGAATAGAAAAAAACAGAATAGAAAGAATATAGCTGTCTTCTGAAAAGAACATAATAGAATAAAACAGAATAGAAAATAAAGGAATAGCATAGAAAAGAATAGTAAAGGAATAGAATAGAAAAGAATAGAATGAATATAGCCATCTTGTGAAATGCAAATTATTTTTTATTATAATAGTATAAAGCAGTATAAAGTAGAATAGAGTAAAACAGAATAGAATAGAACAGAAATAATAGAACAGAATATAATAGAAAATAAATGAACAGAATAGAAAAAACAGAATAGAGTAGAATAGAAAGAATATAGCTGTCTTCTGAAATTCGAATTTCAAACAGAATAGAACCAGCTATTCTTCACAATTAATTTGGATCAATTCAAAATTTTCAATAAGAATTTGATTTGAATACTTCAAATCCATTGAAAAATGTGAATCCGGTTGAAAAATGAAATACGAAGAAATGAATATTGTTATGAATGCAACAAAATAAAATGAGTAACTTAAATCGATCTGAAACACATTTTTTTGCTTTGCAAATGTCTAATTTATATCACTTTGATGGTCACTTTTATTTGAACATTTGGATGGACACATTATTTTAGCTCTTATGATATTTGTGCATTACACTCATTTAAAGACATTATGTCTTTTTTAAATATAGCTACACTTTAATGTGTTTTATGTTTCAGGCTGTTTTTTGTTGGATCCCGAGAAGGACACCTTCCTGACGCTCTCAGTATGATCCACGTAGAGCGATTCACACCCATCCCTGCCTTGCTGTTTAATGTAAGTGCTCTCTACACCATTTAGTCTTCTGATCACTATATTAACTCAAACAGGAATATACCAGTTTTGAAATCATAAGCAACCTCTACATAGGCGTTAAAACAGTGGTTTTGGAAAGTGCTGATTAACGAATAATACATATTGAGAGACAATGAAAAAAGGAAGCTGTGATATATTTGGAAATGTCAGCTGGAGGATGTGCGACTGGCAATTTACTGTCGTAAAGCTAAACTGGAAGGTGTTTTACCACGAAAGGCACCCCTGGAGTATTGATGGAGCAGCTGGATCTTTATTAGATTCAATCGGTTTCTGCGACTCTGGGAAGTCCAAACTTCACAAAAATGGGAATGGTGCTATAACAACCACATTGACTGCCTCCAAAAGTTTGTTTTTTCACACGTACAGTGAAGGAAATAAGTATTTGATCCCCTGCTGATTTTGAATGTTTGCCCACTCACAATGAAATGATCAGTCTAAAAATCGAATGGTAGGTGTATTGTAACATTGAGAGACAGAATAGCAACAAAAAAAATTTTAAATAAAATGCATGTCTAACAAATTATGCACTGATTTGCATGTTCATGAGGGAAATAAGTATTTGTTCCCCTTCACAAAACATGACTTAGTACTTGGTGGCAAATCCCTTGTTGGCAATCACAGAGGTCAGACGTTTCCTGTAGTTGGCCACCAGGTTTGCACACATCTCAGGAGGGATTTTGGCCCACTCCTCTTGGCAGATCCTCTCCAAGTCATTAAGGTTTGGTGGCTGACATTTGGCAACTCGAACTTTCAGTTCCCTCCACAGATTTTCAATCGGATTAAGGTCTGGAGACTGGCTAGGCCACTCCAGGACCTTAATGTGCTTCTTCTTCAGCCACTCCTTTGTTGCCTTGGCCGTGTGTTTTGGGTCATTGTCATGCTGGAACACCCATCCATGACCCATTTTCAATGCCCTGGCTGAGGGAAGAAGGTTCTCACTTAAGATTTACTGGTACATTGCCCCGTCTATCATCTCTTTGATGTGGTGCAGTTGTCCTGTCCCCTTAGCAGAAAAAACACCACCAAAGCAGAATGTTTCCGCCACGTTTGACAGTTGGGATGGTGTTCTTGGGGTCATAGGCAGCATTCCTCCTCCTCCAAACACGGCGAGTTGAGTTGATGCCAAAGAGCTCGATTTTGGTCTCATCTGATCACAACACTTTCAACCAGTCCTCCTCTGCATCATTCAGATGTTCAGTGGCAAACATCAGACGGGCCTGGCCATGTGCTTTCTTGAGCAGAGGGACCTTGCGGGCACTGCAGGATTTCAATCCTTGTTGGCGTAGTGTGTTACCAATTGTTTTATTGGTGATTGTGGTCCCAGCTGCTTGGAGATCATTGACAAGATTCTCACGTGTAGTTCTTGGATGATTCCTTACTGTTCTCATGATCGTTGACACTCCACAAGGTGAGATCTTGCATGGTGCACCAGACCTAGGGAGACTGACAGTTGTTATGTGTTTCTTCTATTTGCGACGGATTGCACCAGCTGTTGTCACCTTCTCACCAAGCTTCTTGGCAATAGTTTTGTAGCCCAATCCAGCCCTTGTGTAGGTCTACAATCTAGTCCCTGACATCCTTGGACAGCTCTTTGGTCTTTGCCATGGTGGAGAGTTTGGAATCTGATTGTTTGATTGCTCCTGTGGACAGGTGTCTTTTATACAGGTAACAAAATGAGATGAGAGCACTCCCTTTATGAGGATGCTTCTAATCTCAGCTTGTTACCTGTATGAAAGACACCTGTGAGCCAGAAATCCTGCTGAATGATAGGGGATCAAATACTTATTTCCCTCATGAACATACAAATCAGTGCATAATTTGTTAGACATGCATTTCTTTTGAATTTTTTGTTGCTATTCTGTCTCTGTTACAATACACCTACCATACTATTTTTAGACTGATCATGTCTTAGTGAACAAACATTCAAAATCAGCAGGGGATCAAATACTTATTTCCTTCACTGTATCTTGGTAATTTTCTAGCCTTACAGTAAGAGTTTAGGGAAAAGATGATTCTGTTCAGCTACAAGTAGTCTTGCATTTCACACACTTACTATGTTGTCCAGTAAGGAAGATGACTTGACTGTTTTATTTATTTATATTTATTTATTTCAGGTACTTATATAGCTCTGTCAATTTACGCAGCACTTTACATATATATTGTACATTCACATCAGCCCCTAACCCTCAAGGGGCATACAATCTAAGGTCCCTAACTCATATTCATATATACTAGGACAAATTTAGAGAGGATCCAGTTAACCTACCAGCATGCCTTTGGAGTGTGGGAGGAAACCGGAGTACCCGCAGGAAATCCACACAAGCACAGGGAGAACATGCAAACTCCAGGCAGGTGTTTTCTGGGTCATCTTCCTGTTCCTTGGACATTGGTGATGATGAAGATTCAAAGCCTAATGATGAGGCTGAGGCAAAGGCGGGCACTTAAATAGGCCATATACAGTTGGTGTCTGCTGACTGGTTATACAGTGTAGTGCAGGTGTGGAATCACAAGACTTGCTGAACAGAGCTGCAAATCATTTGGCTGGTCAAACAATTTCTAACACATGTAGTTCAACTATGAATGCCTGGTGGTATGGTTTAATAGAAACCTGTACTAAGAGGAATACAGAGGTGCCCATGGCTGATCTCCTTTTAAAAATGCCTGTTATCTTGACTGTCTCTGGTTTAATATTTTCAGAGTAAGCATCCAGAAGAATAAACATTCATATCAGAAAAGACAGAGGGAAACGAATAGTATTTTCTGATAATAGCTACCAGCTATATACAGAGAAAGGATAGTGATACAAACCTACCCCTAGCATAAATGGATACTGTTGTAAGAGATTAATGGAGGCTGTCATTGCTGAACTCTCCTTTGAGAATGCTAGTTACCTGGCTGTCCTGATGGTTTGATGTCATTGCTGCCGAAGGAACAGATAAGTAGTTCTGACACTTTTCTGAAATTCATAAGCAGCATGCTTGTTCCAGTACTGTGGTTGAAACTTACAGATTTCAGACACAGCCAGGCATCTAGCATTTTGAAAAGGAAAGCTGCAGTGGCAGTCCCCTTACTTCTCTTATGAAAGAATCACTAAAAGGGGAAGGAGAAATCATAGTAACATGAGAGACAGTGGATGTTATGAGTAAGGAAGAGATGTTATTAATTGCTGCATCACTAATGAAAATGAAGTTATAGACATTGTAATTAAACTATAGAAGAAAGACTACACATGTCATTTGCAGATAATGAAGCATCATCCAGTGAAAAGTAAGTATTATAAAGTATTAACACTATCGAGTTAAAAAGGTTACTTTTTCAAAGAAGAACATTTAAAATGGGTATGTGTGCAGATAGGATGCTCCTTGGATACATGTAAAACATTTGATCACTAAGGCCCTATTCACACCTTAGAGCAGGGGTCTCCAAACCTTTTAAACAAAGGGCCAGTTTTTTGTCCTTCAGACTTTTTGAGGGGCCACTGGGAGCAGAAAATGTCTCAGCATCCTTTGGAGTAAACAATGTCCCATCCTTGGTGTCATTAGGAGGAATAGTGCCCCATCATTGGTCTCATTGGTAGGAATAATTTCCCATCACTGGTGGGATTGGGAGGAATAGTGCCCCATCATTGATATCATTGGTAGGAATAGTGCCCCATCATCGGTAGGAATAGTATCCCATCATTGGTGTGATTGGGGGAGGAATAGTGCCCCATCATTAGTCTCATTGGTAGGAATAGTTTCCCATCACTGGTGGGATTGGGAGGAATAGTGCCCCATCATTGATATCATTGGTAGGAATAGTGCCCCATCATCGGTAGGAATAGTATCCCATGATTGGTGTGATTGGGAGGAATAGTGCCCCATCATTGGTGTGATTGGGAGGAATAGTGCCCCATCATTAGTCTCATTGGTAGGAATAATTTCCCATCACTGGTGGGATTGGGAGGAATAGTGCCCCATCATTGATATCATTGGTAGGAATAGTGCCCCATCATCGGTAGGAATAGTATCCCATCATTGGTGTGATTGGGAGGAATAGTGCCCCATCATTGGTGTGATTGGGAGGAATAGTGCCCCATCATTAGTCTCATTGGTAGGAATAGTTTCCCATCACTGGTGGGATTGGGGAGGAATAGTGCCCCATCATTGATATCATTGGTAGGAATAGTGCCCCATCATCGGTAGGAATAGTATACCATCATTGGTGTGATTGGGAGGAATAGTGCCCCATCATTGGTAGGTATAGTGTCCCATCTTTGGTGTGATTGGGAGGAATTGTACCCCATCATTGATGTCATTGGTAGGAATTGTGCCCCATCATAAGAGTCATTGGGCCCCATTGTTGATGTCATAAGGAGGAACTGAGTCCCATCGTTGGTATCACTGGGAGGAAGTGTGCCCCATCATTGGTATCATTGGGAGGAATTGTGCCCCATCATTAGTTTCATCGGGCCCCATTGTTGGTGTCATTGGCAGGAACTGTGCCCCATTGTTGGTGCTGGTGAATGAAACAGTGCCCCAAGGGCTGGATAAAGGCAAGCAAAGGGCCGAATCCGGCCCCTGGGACACAGTTTGGAGACCACTGCCTTAGAGTATTGGAATTGTGGGCAAAATCAATCAATTCTGCCTGCGATTCCAGATTGTGGCAAAATGTGCAACACATGTTTGGATACCATTATTTCTTAATGGCACCCCAAATGCTGTTAGCAGGCACGCATTTTGTCACACATTTCATCATGTGACAAATGTGCAGTGAAAAAAGATGTGATGTTCCACATCTGAAAATGTTCTGAAGCTTTAATGCGTATGTCGCACATAAGGCAGCTCAGTCAAGAGAATTTAAAGTGAACACAGGTTCACCGTATTTACGAACTTTATTTACCTTGCTAAGTGAACAGCTTGTATTCCTCAGTAAATCAAACCCAATGTCTTTTGTATGCAGGGGAACATAAGGCTTAAAGTGTTACTAAACCCACAACAGTAGAATCAGTCTATATATGCAGTAAAGCATGCTTGTTATACTCACTGTGGAACCTAAGGGGTTATTCCTGCATTGTGTAAAAATGCTGTTTGATCCTGACTCCTCTGATCCTCCCCTTCTTCCAGTGTCCCCCTCTTATCTCCTGATGATATGACATATGGTGTGGAGTCACTCTGCACATGCTCAGTTTAGTGTGTATTGCTAGAGAGGTTTTTTTTTATTGGGAGAGTGCATGTGATCAACACAGGGCCAATCAGCACTGTCCAGACAGAGGTCAAGGGCTCTGCATCCTCCTGGAGCAGAATGAAAACTCCTAAAAGCTTTAACATGTGCTCAGCTGAACACTGATAGAAGTCACAAGACTGCTTTAACTGAGGATGAGAAATGTATTTAGCAGTTTATATTTACTAAAACAGTTTTAATTTCCATGTAGTGTGTACTGTGGGAGACAAGAGAGTAAATGTAGGGTCTTGGGTTTAGTAACACTTTAAAGTGGTTGTAAACCATTACATATATCCAGTGAAGTGACTGGCCGCAGGTGATACACAGAGAAGAAACAAATCCTCATACATAAGTTGTGCCGTCTATATGCCATCTTCTCTTCTCTACATCCACTCAAAGAGCTGAATTTATAAAGATTGTCTGGGGGTTCAGAAAAAAGGGGAGCGGAGAGATGAAGTTACACTCTGCAGAGCTCAGTGAGGAGAGGTCTGAGAGCTGATTGGAGGGAAAAGACACACCTCCCTTCACACAGCACACAGTAACAGAGGCGTGGTTGTCAATCTGCTGGAGGTCCCTCTCCGTCACCATTTTTCTCTTGGTGTCAGGAAAACTTGTCAGAAGTGATTCATGCTGATAGCAGAGGAATGAAACAGCAAAGAGAAATGAAACTTAGTGCTCTCAACTGAGACAAGCACATGTTATAGAGGGGTATTCTTTGTTCATATTTCATGTCTGAGGTTTACAACCACTTTAAAGTTATTTATTCCTTTAAATCAGTACAAGGTGTGGCAATTACAAAGAATAGGAAGAGTTCCTTTTACTGATGGCTACTCTCTTGAAATGAAAAGGAGAAGTGGCTGTTCACCTTAAGAATAGACCTATACTTTCATACAGGTCAAAACCGCTTGAACATTAGCCACCTCCGATTGTGTATTGTTTTCACTGCTCCTATGTGCCTCTCCAGCAGAAGCCTTCTGAGTTTTCCTCCCGTGTTAGATAATCCTTCCGTGTGGAGACAGGATAATGGACAATGCCGGCTAGACACAGCTGAGCGCCACTACCGGGGGGAGCACCAATAGGTGGCTAATATTCAAGCAGTTTTGACCTGTATGAAAGTATAGGTCGATTCTTAAAGCGGAGTTCCACCCAAAAGGAGAAGTTCTGCTTTAAAGATTGGTCCCCCGCTCCCCATTAAGGATTGGCACCTTTGGGGAGCGGGGGGAACAGGTACCTGAATTTGACAGGTAACCGCTCCCACTTCCACTGCAATTGCCTAGGCGATCGGAAACAGAAGTTGTCCTTCCTCCCTCCCTGGAGTCTTTTGGGACATGCGACAGGTCCCAGAAGCCGATGGGGCCATTCAGGAAGCTACTCGTGCATGCGCAGGGGGCACCCAGCTGTGAAGCTGCAAGCTGTCACAGCCGAGTGCCCACACTGAAGATGCCGGCCTCCTGGAATACAGGACGACCAGTGAAATGGGCTGCGGCAGGGGCAACGTGGGATCATGGGACAGGTAAGTGGCTGTTTTTTAAAAGTCAGCAGATACAGTTTTTGTAGCTGCTGACTTTTATTTTTTTACAGAGTGAGCAGCCACTTCTTACAGAGGGTAGAGCACGACATGTATTTCTGACTCACAATGGAGATGGCTTCAGTTTAAAGGATTGTTACTTCCCAGATTACTCTTCACATATTTTTTGGATATGGACATTTTTTATTATAAATAATTATGTTGCAGCACATTTATGTTTTTGGGGCATATTAGTCTGTGATTTACATGCCATTTAAAGGGATATTTGTTATAACCTGTATGTATTTTATCTGGAGAATATTTACAGCACTGAGGTTGTGGCAGCAATACAGTACTCTGCTAAATGGTGTATATCACTTAAAGGGATAGTACTTATTTCTCCTTATTAGTTATTCACTTGCATATTGGAATTGTGGTATTTATACACGCTGCTGTTGGTTATCTTTTTGGATTGCGCTGCACTAATATTTGCATACTTTTTGTGGACACTGAAAGCTGCTGCAAGTATCTTTGGGTACCTACATACAGCTCATATCTGTCAGCAGCTTTCATTGTTCCTAAAGTGACAGTCTGTTTAAGAAAAATGCAACTGATAAGCAAAGGAAAAAAAAAAAGACTAGAGAGATTTGCATTACTGCTTATTCTAAAAATTCTCTGTTTACAGGGAGCAATGGCTCTGGTGTACCTGTGTGTTGAGGACATCTTCCAGCTCATCAATTATTACAGCTTCAGCTACTGGTTATTTGTGGGTCTCTCTATCGCAGGACAACTGTATTTGCGCTGGAAGGAGCCAGACAGACCTCGACCACTCAAGGTTATTATTTTATGTTAATGTTATTTCCTTTCAATAGTGTTTGTTTTTTTGGTATTTTTAAGTACAAAGCGTATAAACTCAACCACTTTCTAATACAAAAATAGAATTACAAAATTACAACTATGAACAGCAGGCGACAGTGGTCGTATACAAATGGAACAGGATCAGATTAGATTACGTTCTAGATAACATACCAAAGATGTAGAGATGAAACATATATTTTGTGTCGGTTAATTAGTTAGTGCTCAGAAAGGGTTGGCTATGTGTAGCTCAACCGCCAACACTGGTAAAAGGATATCATTTGGGATATACTGATATGTCATCAAAATAAGAGATGCGTAGGACACCTTGTGGGTCATGGGGCATCCCCGTGGGACAGCCGAGAGACAAAAATCAAAGAAGGGGAGAAAGTGGAGACAGATTGGGGGGATGGACATCTAAGATGCCTGAGTTCATATTAGTATTATTATTATACAAGATTTATATAGCACCAGCAGTTTGGTCAGCGATTAACAATATCACAGGAGACAATACAGCAACAATACAGTTCAATACACGAAGGTTAGGAGGGCCTGATCCTGGGAGCTTACAATCTAAGAGATATGTTAATGTTATTTCAACTCTTTGGTGTCTTTCCTTGCTTTTTGTATCTTCATTGTTATACAGCTTTTTTTTTCCATAAGGGGTATGTTAAAGTAGAATTAAACCCTCTGGATTTTTCAGATTAACACATTGAGCACACTAAAATAAACATTCCCCAGTAAACTAATTGTTAAAATTCTTACCCAAGCTCTTGAAATGGATTAACAGTGGACAGTGCAGTCTCCAGCCAGTCTGTTAGCTTGGACAAGGAAGGGGGGAGGAGAAGTGAGGCGTAGGGAAGTGCCTTGCCATCCTAGGCTACGGGGCCACATGTTTCTATTGATGCACACATTGTAAGATGCTACTCATGTCCTTGCATAAAAGGGTGGCTCCATAGGAGGCTGCAAGAGAAAGAAGCCACCCTGAAAAAGGAAACCTAGGGTAGTGAACATATCACAGCGTAAACTGGAACATAGGCATGGATAAAAGATGAATGTGCTACATACTCAGTTAGTCATTAAAAAAGGCTACTGAATGTGCTCAAAAAGTAACAGTTTATTATCGCCTTAACCCACTATAGGGGATTGCTTTATAAAACCAGAGAAAGTGGAACTGATTTATGAAATTTGTGGCAAATTAAAAAGGATAATTACCTTTTGGCAGATAAGTGAGTTTTTATTACCCCTTTCTTACCCACCTACCTTTCCTCCACCACGGTTACACAATTGAATATTAAATTTTTTTTGGGGGGGGGGGGGGTTCAACTACCTTTTCTGTGGGTTCCGAGCCTACACTTATGACTTTCTCACCTAGGGTTACATCTGAAAACCATTAATCCACCTAGTCTTCGCTATCCGCATACCTGCGTAGGACAACAGCTTACAAAATCATTTTTTTGTTTGTTTTTTCCTTTTTAGCTCAGTCTGGTATTTCCGGTGATATTTTGTCTTTGCACTGTGTTCCTGGTGGCCGTGCCCCTGTATAGTGACCTAATCAACTCTCTGATTGGAATAGCCATAGCCCTTTCTGGAGTTCCAGTCTATTTCCTAATTGTACGGGTCCCCGAACACAAGAAACCAAACTGCTTAAGGCGTGTAGCAGGTATGAACATTGTGTACTTCCTACTATTACCTTAGAAAACAAACCACAACTTAGTGCACTTATTGTCTCTTTTGTGTTTGGTTTGTCTTTTTTCCTGTAGCCGCGGTCACTCGGTATACTCAGATTTTGTGCTTCTCTGTCATCACTGAGATGGATTTGGAGGAAGAAGAAAAACTGGCTCCAAAGTCTGAATGAAAGACGCAGTCACTACTTGGATCTGCTTTGACTTTCGAAAAACCTCCTCATCACATAATTTATTTCTTAAAGCGGATGGACAGATTTGTTTTTATGGCTTCAGCACAAGGGTGGCTGCAGGGCAGTGAACTGGCTAGAAGCTGGCTTAATAATTCTCTCTGGCAGGGGAAGTATCAATAAATGCCTTTCCCTGACTTGGGATGTTAATTCTATAGTAGCTTGAGGGGGCAGTGGTCATGGGTGGCATAATGCAATGCTGGCCCTTGCACGTACAATTTTAAATCTGTGAATGTACAAGTATCCTATTCAGGCCAATCAGGAGAATGAAGACTCCCGTGACCTTGGTGTGCCTTACATGACTGAGCAATTTGGCACTATCTGGAAAAATATAACCAGTGATCTCTGTGTCACTACAGCACTGATACAATTCTAATAAAACTAAGAAGACCAAAATGACAATGCAGTCACGTTGTGTAGAAAATGTACATTTGGTGAACAAACACACTGGAGTTTATTAATCAGAGCAGATTACTTTATGCTTGAGTCACTTGTGTGAACAACACCTTGTGTAACATAAATGCCATTTGGTTACTCAGCTATACGTGGCGTCATCACACACAAGCAGTGCCTGAGAAAATGGGATGGTCTGGTAAAATAGTTAAAGTAAACCTGTCATAACAGAAGCAATGCTAAAGTCTACAACTGAAAATGTTAGTTCAAGATCACCCTATTGCTTCTGTACTTGTAATCATTGACTTGCATCAAGCAATGCAGATCATGACTTCTGACTTTCATTTGACTTTGCTGGTATGTATACTTCTGAGTCAGTCGTTCAGAAAATATAAAAAACAGTGCAACAGCCAGTCAACTAGAAATTTTCTTTTTTTTTTCACAATTACAAACATATACAAAGAAAATTGACAATAATTAAAAAAAATTAAAAAACAATAAATAAATATATACACCATACCTTACATCAAACTGAAAAAGTAAAATCCAAAATGTCTTTATTGGTTCACCTATTTTACTTATATGTATACTACAATATAATAATATGTCATATATATATATATATATATATATATGTGTCATTAAAATATATTAAAATATATATATATTAATTATAGTACACTACATATATTGTATTATATACCTGTTATATGGTTACTCAGTCACACCTCTGTATATTATTCCACATTCATTACTAGTCTCTGCAATACTGACATTTGCCATAAAATAGAGGAACCAAGGAGACTCATCATCCCATCTACTATGCAGTAACTTACTATGCCCGCATTTTATCCCAATAATACTTTAAATTATGCTTCTCCAGCCAACAAGACCAGATTTCCACATATTTCTTCCCACAACCTCTACATTGATATGCAAGTTTCTCTAGCTCCAAAACCTTCCTATTTTCTCCCAGCCATTTGCTGATTGATGGTGGGGCTTCGGTGACCCATTTTGAACACCACTAGCATTTTCAGAAGCAGATCAACAATTGCAGCCCCAGGTTTTCTTTATGACATGCTTACTTTAACAAAATGAAATGCTGAAAAAAGGAAAAGTCTGAGATAGGGTTGTCTGTCCAACTAGATTAGTGGTGAAACTACCAATCCCATCTTGCATCTAGAAATCATGCCTGTAGTTCTCAGAGTCTTGTAGTGTCTCATGAACCTTGTAGCTTAAAACACATCTGGAGTGCTGAGGTTGCCTACCCTTAAAGGATAAGGTTCACCTTTTGGTAAAAAAAAAAAAATGCACATTTTTCTGCAGGTAAAAAAATGTGCATTTATTATTTTTGCTGCAGGAACCTTTAACGCATTTCACCAGCAATCAGTAGATCACTGGTGCCCTGCAGGTCTCCTATAGATCTGTCAGTATATATCTGCTTGCCTGTACAAGATGTATGAGCAAGCATATATACTGACAGGAAGATTCAGTGAACTACCACGGCCGAACCAAACATGTACAGCCATGATTGTTGTATGAGTGGGTGATTTAAACATGTGGACAACATAAGGGACATCCAGTACATTGATTGACAATCATCCAGTTCCAGAAGGATAAATGTTGGATGCAAGCATGCATGGTGTTTATTTGTTGAGGTATTATATCTTTCAGCTGTGAAAATATTTCATATTTCAACTGCTAGCCAATGTCTGGTGTTGGAAAATACCCACGATAAGCTACTAGTAGGCCACTATCTGTTCCATCAACTGTGAAGACCTATTTAAGAAATGACAGGAATCCCATAAATTGTAACAAACTCTACTAAATATTTTTTTGTAGCTCAGCTCAGACCCTTGATGGTCAATAACTGTGCATGTACACCTAGACCCTTTTGCAGAATCATAGGGGAAATAATTAGTACAATTATAGCAATTATTACACCAATGTTCATTTATGGAAGTCTGAAAGATAAGACCTGTTGGTGGGCACTTAGCCTAGGTTCATACTAGTGCTGCTGCATCTCCATTTGTTTTTTTTTTTGCATGTTTTTGACACATTTTCATGCCTCCTGGATTTTTTTGTTTTGGTAGGAGGGGGAAACTTGTTAAATACAAAACCCTGTCAAAACACATTTATGTGTTTTTCATGTGCTCCCATTGATGTCTTTGGACTCTATAATGCACTATACTGCACCAAATGAAGAACACCATTCTGCATTGATGTGACTGGGCACCATAGAGAATAATGTGAATTCCATTGTCACAGACATAGGAGAAATTACACTAGTGTGATCAGTCTAAAGTGTTTTGACCAATGGGGGAGCAACGCTAATCAGAGCAGTTGTCAGTTGTGCCTTTGTGATTCAAAGGAGATTGATAGTAAGGGAGGATTAGTAGTGTTTTGACCAGGGAGGGAGTAATGCCGATTGAGGGGGATGTCAGTTGCACCTGTGCGTTTTCCACTAATGAGATACAGTATCACCAGTAGCAGAATCACCACTGTATTATCTTCCTACAGAAACACAGAACTACTCTACCTACATCAACAGACACATTTTGCAGACATGTGCCTTGCCTACAAGAAATGTAAAGCTGACACAGGTAAAAAATATCAAAGTTTCCCCTCACTGCCTGTCCTAATCAACCTGTCATACCCTGATAAACAGGGTGTTGAATGAACAGGAAATAAGGGGGAAATAGCAGTGAAGTCTCAGATAACAACCTGTAGAGAAGTTCCCCCTCTGCCTGTATTGGAGAGATAGTCCATCACTTCCTGTCCCAATAGAGATAACCCATCACTTCTTGTCCTGATAGAGATAACCCACCAGTTCCTGTCCCATTAGAGATAACCCACCACTTCCTGTCCCATTAGAGATAAACCCACCACTTCCTGTCCCAATAGAGATAAGCCAGCACTTCCTGTCCCAAGGACTGCTGTACAGGAAATGAAGGAACGTTTTCCCAGTGGTGATAAAACAGGTTCATCTTCTAAAAAGACAATTTTTTTAATTTGTCATGTTTACAACAATGTACTTTAAACATTAAAAAGAAATGGTAGTACACAGTAGCTACAGTATTTGACTTAACATAAATCCATGTGTTCAGCTCATTAGGTAGCATTAGATTTTGTTTACTAAAAAGGTAGCTGCAACCATACAGGCATTATGAAGAAAGTTAATTCACTAATGATTATAATATAAAAGTTCTGTATACTAAAAATATGAAGGTCTAGGAAGTTACATTTAATGGTTTATGCCATTAGGCAAAAAGAAGTGAAGATGTGCAAGGAGTGGTATCTCATAATAACCTGTTAATATTGTGAGATTAAAAAAATATACGGTAAATCCTTATTTATGGTAATAGTTCATTTTACATTGCTTAGTAGGTTAGCTCAATTGTTTTCAAATTCATGATTCCTTTTTATAACATATGCACACCATAAATAAAAAAAATTAGTTTATATGTTTGAATAGGAAAAATATTACATACAGTACAAGTATATAAAAAATGTGGTAAAAATTAAATACAGATGTACCTAGCTGAGCGTCAGTGGAAAGTAGTCTGAATAACTTATAGTATTAATTTATTCAAAACCATAAATAAATAAAAATTTAATTTTACCCTTTTTTACAAGAGATATAACTATACCAAAATGCTAGCTGTCGATACCACAAAGGCTAAAAAAATATACCAGTACAAAGTAGATGTGGTATCTAAAACACATGACCTAACTTAGCTAAACCCATAATGGTAATTATATATGAATTTATAGGAGTAGCAACTTAAGAGTGTGGAGTTCTTGCTGGTGCTTGAGCACCTGCAAAAAATAGCCTAACACCTCATCTATCATGTACCTATCAGGAGCCCAAGATGACAAAGTAGGCATCTATTATAACTCCATTCGTTTTGAATGGGCTCAAATCACACTGCACTGTCTCAAAAGTATTCAATGCACTACTTTTGGAATCTCACTGCAACCAAATTGCATGGTACTTCTGTACCATGTGATATAAAGCAGGCAATGCACTTTGTTTCAGACACCCGCTGCAGATTGCAACTTTCCTGCACTGGTGTTAACAGGGCCTTAATTCTGGGGGAAGACCACAACTTCTGCTTCCTGTATCACCAGTCTCACGCAAACCTCCAAATCTGTGCATTATGCCCACTAGCATGAAAAATGTATTTGTCCACTTTTAGACAATTTGGATATAGAGTGATACATATCCAGACATTTAGAAATGCTTTTCTGGATTTTTCTAGCTTTATGCTTTGATACAGTTCTCCAGAGCTTTTTTCAGCAGGAACGTGGTGGAATTCAGTTCCACCACATCCAGCTCAGGCCTTCCACTCCCTGTTCACCACCATCACTTGTAAACACAGAAGTCTACAAGTGTTCACAAGTAACAGCTTCTCTCCCAGTGGCTCCCACAGATCTGATCACCTGAGTGGCTCCCACTAAGTCAGTGTTTCTCAACTCCAGTCCTCATGGACCCCCAACAGGTCATGTTTTCAGATTTCCATTATTTTGCACAGGTGATTTGATCAGTT